CTAAAACTTAGGAACCACTTAACTTTCGAATTTGACCAAATTAGTGATGGTTCAAAATCATTTAAAGGGTGCACAGGTCTATTGAGGAGCCTGAAGTCTGTAGTTTAATTTTCAGTTTTTCATTAGCTTCGTTTAGATCTAATCTTGGAAAAGTCCGTCATCTAAGACGCCATTGTGAACAAGTGAGGTTTCCGTTTAATAGCCGTGCGCACTGTTTCCACACCTTTGAAATTCTGGAGTGTACAACCACGAAAGCGGAATAGAGAACCAGTCTATACATCACTAGATCTAAAATCTACATCTAATTGTTTACATCTCTCAGGATTTATTGCTCCATTCCAGTAGAGTATAAATATAGCAGGCCAATGACTTTCAGTTGATGTTAAGGCACCAATCATTCATTTCAACGAAAGGGGGCTCAGCTAGTATTATAATATTTGTCTTGAAGCAGTAGGCCTATGTCTCTGTTTCAAATGGAGATTAGACAATTACGTATCATTAACAACGCAAAGAGCAAAAGCTTACCACTGGGCTTATCTTACTTTCCAGCTATTCGTCAGTGGTAAGGTATGAACAATTTAGGCCTGCTCTCGAAACGATCTCCAGGAATCATTTAAATTTACCCATTTAGGTCGACCTATTTGTCACCTGGAGGATGGGAGTAAGTGAAGAACTGAGATAAACAACAAGGTTAAGTCACATTTTCCTAAAAATAAGAGTTCTGCATAATATTATTCGAAATAGCACTGTACTGACAAAGCACTATTCTGTTCCTACGCCCAGTTATTCTTGTTCAAAGAAGCAAACCCTTCATGCAACAACAAGGGAAGTCCAGTAAAAGTCTTCTTGAGCTCTCTAATCGGAACGTACTTAAAGTATTTCATGAAATAAGTTGGGTTTTTTTCTCATTTTCTCGAAAGCATCTAAATGTGACTTGACCATGGTGTTGTTCTCAGGTCTTCAATTAAAAAGGATCTACCTCCGTATATTACAAGCACTTTACTTTACTTTTATCCGCCGCTTATACCCTTTTGGGTGTCGCGGGAAGAAAGAGACGTCTCTCTGCCACCAGCCGGAGAGCTTGGGTCAGGGGGATGCCGTAAGTTGCTAATGTTTCCCTGACTCCATCTATCCTGGTCTTTCTCGGTCGCCCTCTAGCCTTGTTGCCATCGAATTTTTTTTTTAAATGTAAGCACAACAGTGTTTAATCAAAAAGACATCACAAATAAATCATCTAACCCCCA